TTTTATCAATTAATAGTTAGGAGGGATGCGTATAAACTTGGTTCTTAAGCAAGTTAAGGGCGGTTCCATTAGTATGGCGCCGCCGATCGTCATTATAACTTACGCGATAATCCGGCTTACGCAGAGTTGACGTGATCGCACCCAATCTAAACTTGAGGCATTGCAATACTACCTGGAGCTTGATTTGATTGGAAACAACTTGAGGCTAGTGGCGAATTGATATTCGCTGTATCGCAAATAATTCCATTCGGCGATGTAATTTTAACTATTTTAAACTCGTATTGTTTTTGATTATTTTTTTTGCTCGTGTAGGCAGACGAGCACACGGCCCACCTGGGATGGTAAGTGGTTACCGTCGCCAATAGACGCCAGCAACATAAATCAGGGGTAGATATAAGCTGCTGCCTAACTTTACCATAATAATTTATTACGTAACATGATCAATGAAGTTTGTTTACAAATTATGAAGATAAATTTGTTCTTAAACAATAATTTAGATTTAATTTCTATTTCCCGATTATTTATGTTATTGCGGTAACTATTCCTTGGTCAGCTTCTATTATTACCCTGCGTTAACTACCCTTTATATGACGTAGGCGGACCCGTGCTCGGCAGTAGGATAAAAGGTGGCTTATATTTATTCTCGGGGCTCAAACTATTTCCATACCGAATTTCTTGTAAATCGGTTCAGTGGTTTAAGCGTGAGAACGTAACAGACAGACGGAAATACTTCCATAATAATAGTACTATTTGTTATACTATGACCTGTGACATTTAACATAAATCTTTAAATTATGTTAGGTTTTTTTTTACATGCAATTTTATTGGAACAAAGTATATATAAAGCCCGCATTGATTGCAATTAATATTTGTTGTTTTTGTTTTTTTGTCGCTTATCCTACCTATGTTGGCAACCTCGAAGGGTTAAGTCAGCTTAAGCGAGCGAATGAGTAAGGTGAGGGCTCTAACTTGACGACATTGCTAGCACTAGCAAGAGCAGTGCTTCGCAGAATCTACCAACGGATCGGAAACGCGATCCTTGAAAAGATCCGGCAAGAAACTCAATGGGCTGTGTCTGAGGGTTAATTTTCTCGCCAAGCCCTTCTTCGCAAGCGGCAGGTTCGACGAGAACGGTGATCAGTTCTTGAGGTACCTAAAAGCGACGATAGTGGATCGGGACGATCGGAAATGTCGTGTAATATTAAAATTTTTCGAATATCTTGTCTACCAACGTTTGGATTTAGATCCATAGGATACATACATTACTTGATTAGTTAATACCAATATCGCGTTTATTATTTGAGACATATCGCAAGTTTTCGTCATGGACGAATAAAATGAAGTAAAATACGCGTGAGAATAGTAAATAAGTAAGGTTTAATTAAGTAAAATTTCATACAATCATTTCTTTGCTTCTTCGAATATAATCATCTTATTAACCTATTTATTCAAACGCAAGAGACCAAAATTTTACGTACAAAAATTATATGTTAACCATCATTCACATGACCCTATTCGTTCGCGTCAATATACGCTTTGTGTACCGTTGAAACTTGGTCTCATTATTCATCGACACATACGTTTTTCCAATCATTAATTTTCCACGTATATTCGATACTCGGTGTTTTTGTTCCAATATTTTTTCGTTTGTTTGTCGATTTTCAATAAAGCCTATGAAAGATACAATGTTTTTTTTTGTTATGTTTAATTTTATCATGTCCCGATATTTATATTCGTTTATTTGTCGGCTGTTTTTCGTAATCTATTATTTTGTGAGGCTAATAGTTCACTTTCTGAGTGTTGCTATAGATAAGACAGGGAGACCAGCTCGCGTCCGCCTAGTGTCAATCGGAGTCCATTGCAGTCCAACAAGAATGACGCTACCCACGAGAGAAATCACTTAGCTGTCAGTTTCATAGAGACGACGTAAGCACTAACGCGACAGATAGACAGATTAGAGGTACCTCTTCGTGTAGGTGTCCACCTAGTGTCAATTGGAGTCCATTGCAGTCCAACAAGAATGACGCTGCCCACGACAGAAATCACTTAGCTGTCAGTTTCATAGAGACGACGTAAGCACCAACGCGACAGACAGACAGATTAGAGGCACCTCTCTGTGTAGGCTCGTCATATAAAGTCAAAATTGAAGAAGAATTAAGTTAGGAAGTGAGTTACATAGTATAAAGATTGAAGGTCGTATTATAAAAAAGAGGCAGTTCCTTGAGAAGGGCATGATCGTACGCCCGGATCAACTGATCAAAGAATTGAACAAACTCTTAACAATTGCTTTGTTTGACTTCTCTTTTAATTAAGACAAAAAGATCGAGGGACGGCTAATTAATAGCCTTTACAGCAGGCACTTGGATTTTTTTTTGTAATAAATAGTCTAATTTTATTGTGTGCCTAATAAATAAATAAAAGTTATGTGTTAGGTTTTAAGTTACTAACATAGATTATAGGTAATACTTACAAACAAAATGTTAAGGTTTATTCAAACTCCACACGTATTTCGTTCTTTCCACTCTATTAACTTTATATAAGACCACATACTAACGTAAAATGACAACATTATTAAAAGTGAGTCTCGTGTTAATATATTAAATTAATATTGCAAATAAAAAACGACTTATTACGACACTATTTCGAGAACATTCTTTAGTCACAACACAAAAACCGAACGAACACATTCGAAACAATTAGTTAAAAGCTGAATGAGCGCTCGTTAATTTTCTACACACTTAATGCTCCATGATAGGTAATTAGTTAACTTTGTGTGTTTTGAGGACGTTTTGTTTGAACGGTGACACGACCCCGGACTCAAGGGGCTCCACGCAATTCCGAGCCTACTCCACGGGGACAACCCTGGACTGAAATCCAGCAATATGTTACGCGAGAATGCATACATATGCAAGGGTTTTTTTTTTAAATTTTGTGTGAAATAGACGGCAGATGTATTCACAGCTCATTTAGTGTTCAGTAGTTACGGAAGCCCATAGAATTTATTAGCTGAATGTAGTCACCTTTGGAAATAAAGTCTCTTCTTCCTTTTATCCACCTTATCCCACTAGGTGGGGTCGGCACAGCTAATTTTTCTCTTCCATTCTGTTCTATCAGCCGTCATCTCAACACTCACTCCTCTCTCTCTCATATCGTCATTCCCACACTTCATCCATGTCTTCTTCGGTCGACCTCTTCCCCCTCTACATACCTACCTACCTTTGGAAATAAAGTCAAAACAATAAATGTCATGAACCCTCCAACGGATCGAATCATAATCAGAGCAGATGACGCCCGTAAACGATAATTGCGTTTATATATCGCGATTAAGCGGTAATTAAACTAAAGATATGTTCGAATGTCTCCTAATTGTTGACTGTATGAAGTGATTTGCCGTAAATTGCGAGAGTTGAAATTCGTGTATCGGATCATAGATCAGATGAACTTGTAAGTCGAAGCAGTATCGCTGAGTACATTATGAACGTCACTTTTACTATTACTAGAGGTCCCGCAGTAGTCGAAATTCGACTATAATAAATTGGAATTGTAAGTTTGTACACTATTATGATTGTATTTTATACTTCTATAATCACAAATTTCGCCAAGACTGCACTATAAAAAATATTAACAAAGACAAACAATATTTAATCTCAATTTGACAACAGACGTCAATAACAAAAGTTTGACAATAAATAGTATGCATGCGTGTGTGCGTCAAATACATGGTATGTAGTGTGTGTAATGTTTTCTTTATTGATTTAAAGGATCTTTTATGCATTATTTTAAAAAAAATTTTAGAATTGTGCACGTCTTCTCTATATTCTCTATAAGTGTGGAAAATTTCATACTCCTCCGTCCGCGCAAATTTCGTAAAAAGGGATACAAAGTTTTTGCTTCACGTATTAATATATAGATTGGTTACGTAGCAGCTCCCATTTCACTTCGACGTCGTATCTTAAAAAACACTTCGTCTTACAAAGAATGGAGTAAGAGTGAGCGAAATTCTATTTTAACAAAATCTAAGCTTTTTGCAATTTTATTATACTTACTAATTTCTACATCATTTTACAACACAATTTTCACATAGATGTTTTTAGTTAATAATATTTAGTTGCATTTAATGTCGCAATGAACAAAATGAGACACCGAAAGAATCCTTATATAAATATACGTTTCCTATCACACTTATATAATGTTTCACTGATTTTTACATTACTTATTGTGATGACGACATTCACGTAGTCAAGTCTATGGGATCCGCTAAATACTAAAAATCATTTAAGCTGTGAACTAGTCCACACAATCAGTACAAAAAATGTAAAACATATATGCACTGTAGGTTGGCTATATTTGCCTTCTTTTTTGCTAAGAAGCAATTTCTTGTATTAGTTTAATTGAGATCCAATTGGGATTGCCACCTTAATACTCAAGGTGGACGAAGACCTCTTCTAAGAATAATTTTAAGCTATTGCATAGCTTTTATCGCGGGCTTTGAACGCGGCGACCGAATCAAGAAATTCCGTAATGAAAACGAAACCTAACACCCCCCACTCCGCCTACCATGTAGCTCGCGTTCAACACATTCACACGTTGCGCTAGTGTAGTGTTTGTGAATAAGCGCGCGCCGTGATGTCACACTGCATGTGCATCATGAAAAGTCTGCCCATCTCTCTCTCGCGCGGTCTAGCTTATGAGTGCGAAGGGGACAGTTAATTTTTTCCTATGGTTAATGTTTATAAATATAGCGTAGTCTTATTTTAATATTGTTTTAATATTAAATTATTATTGTCTAATTATAATTGCTTAAGTTGATAAAAAATGCGATGCAATAGCTTTACCGCGGCCACACGTGTTTTTATTTTTATTGCCCTTATAGACAAACGAGCATACGGCCTACCTGACGGTGAGTGGTTACCGTCGCCCATTGACTTCAGCAATGCCAGGGGCAGAGCCAAGCCGCTGCCGTCAGCGTTTATAAGATATACAATTATAAAAAACCTTACCTTCGAACACCGTCAACGTAGCTACGGCAGTGACAGCGTCACCGACGCCGTTCTCGGCAACGCATTCGTAGGTCGCGTCGTCGCGCTGCGCCCGCACCGGTTCGATGCGAAGGACAGCTCCGTTGGCACCGGGGCCGGCCGCTCCGTCCATGCCCGATACTTGGTAGCGGGTTTGCATGTCTACGGGAGAAAGAACATTTAAAAAGTAGTACAACTAACCCAAAAATAGCGATCGTTAACACAAACGAATAGAAACCAAAATCGTTGAGTTTATTGGTATCCATGCTGTGTCCTTGGTATTACCTATTGATATCTATACAGTTACAGATATTACTTAACACTGGGTGTGATGCTGGATGTGAAGTTGTAATACTTGTGATGATAAAAAACTTGCATTTCTGATTCTTGTGCGCTTGACTGTATTACTTATACCTAAAGGATTGTGATCATCTTCGGGAAGCCTCTAACATCCAACGTTATCTCATCACGATCAGTTCGAAAGGTTGGCAACAATTACCTAAAATCGACCTTATGATTTATGGCGAAATGCGGCACCCACACTATAATATCTTCGGGTTCCAATAAACATATAATATCAGCGAATCATGAACTCATATGCCTATGACAACAACAAAAAAAGTTATCAAATCAGCATTAAACAATTAACAGATTACAGATTCATTGAAACGATATCCAACTCATTAACGGGCAGTAAAAGAATACCTCGTGTTTTCGCAAAGACAAAGCTTTTATCTATTTTCATGAGTACACCAACGATTTCTTAGTGTGATCACGTGCGAATGCGACGAGGTGTGGATTTGAACAATTCAACGCTAAGAGGAGTACAATTTCGAGTCATGTTGTAAACACGAGGTAATGTGGATAATGTGTTTTGTATTTTGCACGTGTGTCACAAGTACAAATACATCCTATTTATTCGTCTAATTCCGAAGAAGAAGCGATTTTTTCGGGTTGCTTGGTTAGTCCAGAAAGAATGTAGCAGCAGAGATTCTTATCGTCCTTCTGTTTTGGTCCCCCAAATTTTATTGCTTTTGACGGGAATAGATTTCCATCTGAAGGATAAAACCGTATTAAAAGTGCACCTCCATATGCTGCCTCAAGTACAATCTTTCCCAAAGTGGGCGATAACGCCCCCTTGTGGGCCCGGAAGGCCTAAGGGGGGACGGCAAGACACCCAGAAAAAAATTAGGGGCGTTGTCTAGAGGCTTGGGAGGCGATTTGTGATTTCATCTAGGAGGACTCTTAGAAACCGAATGAGCTCTCGCTATAATGGTTTTTAAGTAAGTTAAAAAAAAGGGGGGCACTAAAAATAATTTATTCTCAAAGTGGGCAGTAGACAAATAAGTTTGGGAACCCCTGCTCAAGATGATGTCTTTGAGCTATAGTAATCAGAGAACACTAGACGAAACGTGAGTCCGACGAATGCCTAAATAATTATACTAGTTCGAGGGTAGTTAAAAAATGATGCTTTATTAATTTATATCCATCCGTCGTTGACAAAAGTTTGGAGTCTTCCGAAAAATATATAATGATGTGCTTGACTCACAATCATATGAAGAGGTAGGACAAAGATGAGGTCTACATTTAGCATTGGATAGCTGAATATGAAATCGAAGATAAATACAACATATAAATATTTATGCTATGTGAAAACGAACATCACTCGTTAAATAAACCCGTTCCAAGTAAAGTTAAACTGAACAAACTGAATGTTTATTTTGACTTTTGATTTTTTGCATTTGTGATGTATCACTATTTATGAATTCGATTAACAATTTTGTTTTTGAAAAAAATATTCGTATAGTATTTCAATAATTGATAATATTTTTTTGTTTTGCAACAAACATTACTGTTACGCGCTGGGGTTCGGGATAAATATATGTTCCACCAAAGTACAACTTAAAACTGTTTTAAGCACTTACAACAACTTCACAAAAATTCTCAGTTCGCTTCTTCCGGTTCGCTTCAGGTGATCCATTCGCTGTTTCGCTTCTTTTTTTATTACTATTGCTTAGATGGGTGGACGAGCTCACAGCCCACCTGGTGTCAAGTGGTTACTGGAGCCCATATATATCCACAACGTAAATACGCCACCCACCTTGAGATATAAGTTTTAAGGTCTCAGTATAGTTACAACGGCTGCCCCACCCTTCAAACCGAAACGCATTACTGCTTCACGGCAGAAATAGGCAAGGTGGTGGTACCCACCCGCGCGGACTCACAAGAGGTCCTACCACCAGTAATTACGCAAATTATAATTTTGTGGGTTTCATTTTTATTACACAATGTTATTCCTTCACCGTGGTAGTTCCGATTACTAACTGACTACGTGCCATCTCTACAATGCTTTTATAGTTTAGACGAAATCCCTAGAATCGTCGAGAATATTCCACACAAGTCAAGTATTATGTTTCCGCTATCTGACAATAGATGCCGTTGTACTTCTCGAGCGTTCTAGGTGCTACTAGATCCTTCGATATTCGTTCGACTACTCGGCGATAGATTACATTACTCTTACCGGCGTAACATTACCAAAGATTAGAATGAACGTCAAACAACATTGCTTTCGCGTGAATGACACCAAGAAATGTTCGGAAGAAATTACTTTAGACTACAACAAGATTCTAACAAAAACTTTACGCGTTTATAAATAAGTTATTGGTATTTAACTGTATAAGGAACAGTAAAACGTTGTGGTCTGCTATAAGTACAATAGGGATTGTGGAAAACTTTCCGTAGAAGCAAAGGTAATCAAAGCTAATGATTATCGACATCATAACTATGAACAAGTCGTGGTAGACTTTTTTTTTTGTTACGGTAATATTTTGTTTTAATTTATTTACGCGTGGCTGATGTTCGCATGAAGGCGTGAATGAGATCATAATCCACTTGGAGCTAAAGGTTTTACCTCAGAAATAAGACAGTATTTTTTTTTCCTACCTAATCTTTGGTTGCCTATGGGGCTACTTCAACTATAGACTTGTCAGTGAGTTCACAGGGTTCAACCTGGGAGGACATGATAACACTAACAACCAATTGCCTATTTGTTAGAAGTTATCCAGGATCGTTTAGAGACAAATAATTCAAAAACGTAATTAGTGAAGGTTGTGCGGATGTATTGTGAAATCGCAAAGCTAAGGTACCATTCATCCCACTTCCAAAACGCAGTAGAATCTGAAGCCTTGTGTCTCAACTGGATAAGGACATTTACGTTGTGATGTTTATAAGCTTAGTTAATCATTAAACACTAGGTGAGCTGTGATTTCATTTGCAGCACTACGTTAAGGGTATTTGTCTACAGGTTGGGTTCACTGTAAAGATTTGGCTGTCTTGATTTGAGCTGCAAATTGGTGTCGGTATTTCGATGCCTCCAACTCGTACGTAAGCACCTAGCTACCTAATTATATAGACAAAATAATACCTATAGTATTCCAAAATTTAGATAGCCTCGTTACCAGATAAGGACACATGAGTACCAATAGTGCGTTAAGCAATTTTTTTTTAAATACCTCTGAAATAGTGTAAATATTCAAAAGTAAGAGTTCGAACACTTGTCAAAGTCCTTTAAGTTTTAAAAAGAGACTATCTCGCTGGCTCTAAAGAAAAAAAAATAAACTTAAAAGGCATTGATATTAATGACCCGTTCCACAACGAGTCGCACTTTGCATATTTCCCGCACAAGATTGCACTAGTGAAACGAGAGCGCTTTACACAAGTTTACGATCGGCTGACCATTCGTTCTTGTTTTTATCGTGATAGAGACCATAATGCCGTGTCCGGGATACGTTTTCAAGTTGCGGGTAGTTGTTAAAACGTAGGTCGCTAGTGGAACGACAGAGCTAAATCGCCAGGAGCGGTGGAGTGCCAAGAAAATGTATTCCACAACAAGCAGGAATAATCGTTGTCTTGCGGACGTGAGGATTTAAAAGAATAAGAAAACTTTTTCGACTAAATGAAATTTTCGCAGTTCAGTCTGGAAACAGAGCAGTTGGTTATAGGTGCACTAAAATAAACTTGCGTTTAGCGAGTTCTAGATAAAATAGCTTTGGTTTAGTTTCAATATATTTTACTGGCAGTTAGTAGTAATGCACAATTTTAAATGAAAAAAAAAACTCTAATCTAATACTAATAATCTAATATAAAATAATCTAATAAATCTAATAATAACAATAATCTAACGCTAAGCTAATGTTGTTTTGAAGGCAATGTCGTAGAAGTGGGAAACGCTGACGAGCGAAGCCTATAGCATATGACGAATATTTTTTTATTTTATTTATTGCTTAGATGGATGGACGAGCTCACAGCCCACCTGGTGTTAAATGGTTATTGGAGCCCATAGACATATACAACGTAAATGCGCCACCCACCTTGGATATAAATTCTAAGATCTCGGTATAGTTACAACGGCTGCCCCACCCTTCAAACCGAAACGCATTACTGCTTCACGGTAAAAATAGGCAGGGCGGTGGTACCTACCCATGCGGACTCAAAGGTACTACCACCAGTGATTACGCAAATTATAATTTTGCGGGTTTGATTTGTATTACACGATGTTAATCCTTCACAGTGGAAGTCAATCGTGAACATTTGTTAAGTACGTATTTCATTAGAAAAATTAGTACCCGCCTGCGGGACTCGAACCCTAGTGCATCGTTAGATACGAATGCACCGGACGTCTTATCCTTTAGGCCACATCGACTACAATATACCTAGAAACGTACTGTAAAGAAAAATGCTATCCAATTCTCGTTCTTAACCGTTCGTATTAAAAAATCACACAATCATCACAAACACGCCTAACAGCAAAATTTCTGTAATCCTCCTGAAAGAACAGTAAACATTTAGGGCGCATTATTTTAGTAATGTTTTCGCGTTTATTTTCCGAAGTGTGATTCTCGAGCTGGGAGCGAGGATCCATCCATCACGGACACCGACGCAGCAACGCGTCACGTGATTGTCAATCTAGCGTGCGACGCACTGACTCAGTGTCGAGCCACTTTTATTGTTCAGTTTCTCGGAAATGTCACCTACGCTCGAAATGGCTTATCGTCTGCAGGAAGTGCGTGCGGAATTCGTCTTTTATAATCTAAAACTACGAGATTAATACCGAACTAAAGTGAGGATGAATTCGTTGCGGATATCATAGAGGGCCTTTGAGGTTCGGGTCATGTTCCGCTGGACTATTGCGGTAGGTATGAAAATCATCTATTGAACTTCGTTTGTTGATGGTATTACAACAAAAACTTCTTCGAAGTGCCAATAAATATGTTACCAGCGGGCGCGGGACGAACACTTAAAAAAATAATCTAAATAAATTTACGTTAAATATTAGAAAAAATATATTTACTTTGACAAAGGTATTTTCGTAATAACTATAAAGCAATTTGAAAAAAAAAAAAATTGGTCGCGCCAACCTCACTTTTATTTGATTAGTAAAAGTCGCAAAATCCTTCACGAAAAACCGGTTCGATCAATCGAAATGACAGTTTTATTGGTTCTCCTGTAAATGGTCCTCAATCGGACAAGCCACAATTTTATTTTTAGGAAGTTTCCCCTGTCAATATCTTAAGAAATTCGGGGAACACAATAAAACTTATCGCGTCAACTGCCAAAGAGTAACGCGGCCCGCCTACAGAAGTGTCAAACAGTCGAAGAGACAATAACTATAATTCAAAGTAGTAATAAATAAAATCGTTGCCAACACACGCTTTATATTGTGAATTTTATTTTCATTTTATGATACAGTAAATGGAGATTTTGTCTATTTGAATAACGAGTCTTATATTTTTTTATATATATATTTACTGCATACATAGGTAACAAGTGACGGTTTCACCTCATGTAAAGTGGTTATCGAAGCTTGAGACATGAGGTCAAAATCGCGGTTGTATTATATAGCGGATGTCCCATCCTTAAAACCGGAACGAATGCGACAAAAATAGGCAAGATAATAGTACCCATTACGCCGTACCACGACATGACTATTGGTCATTACCATATCGTCGTTGTCAAACCAAAACCTGATATGTGCACTTTTTGATATTTTTACTTTTTGACCTTTTCGTATAGTTCATAGCCCTATCTACCGTATAAAAAAAAACTGTTATGTGTCTATAGCTTTAATATTTATCTATAGCTTTCATTGCATATAGTTCTTAAAAATTCACCTTCATACAAAATTTTATACAAAAACTTTTTTACTCGTTAATTCAAAATAGAGTTTTTGCACATAGCAGATTTTTGTTTGACAGCGACGATATGCTAACGCAAAATGTGAATTTTATTATATTGTTAACCCTCGAAACCACGTTTAAAAGTATATATGAGCTCATTCAAGGCTTAGTATATACAAAATATAATAGATTTGATTGTCGAATCGCAAATCTCCATATCACGATACAGTATATTTTTTTCCAAAAAACATTTAGTAATGTATTTAAGTTGAACAAAATTTTACAGTAAATAAGCGGATCACCCTTGGTGTAGCTAGCAAAATTGAGGTTCCACGCAGTATATGCGAACATATTACAGAGTAACGTAATTTGTATGAGTAGCCAAAATCGTGCGAGGAATACACGGAAATCAGTTTTATTTTATTTTTAAATGTAACACCGATTTTCCCTATGTACATATATTTAGATATATTTTAGTGCACTGTTATTCTAAATTAGGTCTTGTTCAATGACGCGCTGAACACCACTCAGTTTGTCTTTTCGAGCATTTTCACATTAACATTTTCACATTTGAAGTCGTCGTGGCCTAAAGGATAAGGCGTCCGTCCGGTGCATTCGTATCTAACGATGCAACGGTGTTCGAATCCCGCAGGCGGGTACCAATTTTTCTAAGGAAATCGTACTTAACAAATGTTCACGATTGACTTCCACGGTGAAGGAAAAACATCGTGTAATAAAAATCAAACCCGCAAAATTATGATTTGCGTAATTATTGGTGGTAGGACCCCTTGTGAGTCCGCGCGGGTAGGTACCATCGCCCTGTCTATTTCTGCCGTGAAGCAGTAATGCGTTTCGATTTGAAGGGTGGGGCAGCCGTTGTAACTATACTGAGAGACCTTAAAACTTATAACTCAAGGTGGGTGGCGCATTTACGTTGTAGATGTCTATGGGCTCCAGTAACCATTTAACACCAGGTGGGCTGTGAGCTCGTCCCCCAAAATAAGGAATAAAAAAATTCACAATCAACGTTTTCTTGTACGAATAAATCTATATCGTTCAATCTTGCTAGTATTGCTCGAACTTTCCAAACGCGAGCTCAAAAAAGAGCTACACATGTATTAAACCACGGGCACATAAAACGCAAGTGTAAAAGAAAGAAAGAAAGAAAGAAAAAAAAACCGCGTCATCGCTTCGTATCCACATAAAATCTTTCATCTACATGTTTATTCGGTTGGAAATCCGTCTGTTTTTTTCGAATCGACCGTGTTTGACGGATGATGGGCGCCGATAGGGAAAAATACGTTGCCGGCTTGATAAGGCGGAATATTAAATGAGGAATAGGTGCTATGGCCATCATCAGTCTTTTACGAGCGTTGGATTCGGTTCATTTGATATACGCCATTACATGTGTCATTTTTCATGCCTCCGTGAAACTATTTAGGGTTGCTACTCAATTTTTCTACGAGGTCGGTAAGAGAGTGTTGACTATGAATGTGGAAAGATGTAGAGGAAGAGGTAGACCTAAGAAAAAATGGAAGTATTGCGTGAAAGACGATATGTGTAAGAGGGGAGTGAGCGAAGAAATAGTATATGATAGAAGAGTATGGAAGGAGAAAACATATTGTGCCGACCCCAGGTGACTGGGAAAAGGGGAGGAGAATGATGATGATGACACAATTTTTCTACGGTCAACACATGCAAATTGCGATCTTAGTTTAGTTATTTATAATTGAATCTATGATTTCATTGATGTCAACTAAACTTTGAGTTCAATATTAGGTCGCTTAGAAAACAGATATTACTGCAATTAGCTAGATCATTGGGTAGTAAGTACCCCATTGAATTCTGGTCGATATATTAATATTCGTAAATTTGTAGTCATTAAGATAGGTTTGTCTATTCTGTTCCAATTTCGTCATTCTGAACCGTTAAGCCTGTCCAAAATTAATAAATTATAAAAGAAATTAGAAAACATCGTCATGTGTATGAAGTACATTTTCACAGGTCAACCGTACTGGACTACAGACAGATCATTGCCGCTTATGGATCTTTTTAAGGATTTTTCCATAATCAAGACTATTTTTACGAAAAAAAAAAGCTTATTCATATCTGTAATAGTGACAAGTATATGTTTTTTTAACCAAAAAGGTCGTAGCATTTTTAACTGTTTAAGACGAACGGACGACTTTACGGCCTTCTTGTTGCTATCAGACAGAATAGACATGACAACGTGGTATTATTCACATTGAAAATTCATGCAGAAGACACAGTCGTATTGTACCATGAACCGGACCTACAAACCAGATTGCTTGGCGTCTGAAATCTACCCTTGCAACTTCCAATAAGACCTCTCTATATTTCAGCCCACAGACCCCAAGCCTCGCCGCAATGACCGATCCTGCGTTGCCAGCGGATTCCCGCGGCCTTCAACAGGTCGTCAGTCCACACTACGTCATCCCGTACGCGGTCGCCGTTATAGAAATTTAGGGCCCCAATATGCCTTATGAACATATTTTTTTAATTGCCCTTGTAGGTAAACAAGGTTACGGCTCAACTGATGGTGAGTAGATACCGTCGCCCACGGACGTCTGCAATGCCAGATGCAGACCCAAGCCGCTGCCTACCGTTAAAACCATGAAATTATATCCGGATGTCAATTACGAGCTACTGGTGTGCGACTCGCGCCACCTCGAGCTACTACTGGTACTTTCTCATTAATTATCTAGTATATAGTAAGTCTTTAATTCATTATCATGCAAAACTATTTGCCTAAGCCTGAGTATCTATCCGATACGTGTTGCGACCCCGCACGGTCCAGTGAAATTTTTCTTTCGACAACAACAAAATCTTCCATTCAGATTTCTTCGGCACCATACTAATAGTTTCATAGTTTCTACATCTAAGTTGCTACTGTTCAGATAGGAATGAGCCGTGAACTCGCCTAACAATCTGCGCTAGTAAAAATATATCAATGAAACATTTCTTTAGTAATTGAACAGCATGTAATAAAGGCATGTAATGTGTGATCTCCTAAGTATGATTGGTAACTTGCCTTTCACGGCAAAGAAATAGATGCGTTTGAACAGACAGCCGTAACTCCAATATATTACGGTATTTTGACACTTTACTAGTTTCCAGAATGATTTATGAAATACAAGCTTTATAATAGTTTTAGGAGGTTGAAGAAATATTCGTCAAACAAAATTTAAAAAATTATATTTATAGTACTCACTGGAAACTTTCTTTCCGTTTTTGCGCCACTGTATGTTAGGTATCGGGTCTCCTCGTGCCGCGCAATAGAACGCTGCGATGCTGTTAGCTCGAACTTGAAGGTTCCTCGGCCGGATCGTGATCTCAGGCGGATCTGCAACATTAATAGTGCGACGAATTTATTATAAATACCGTAAAACAACAAACAAAATATAAACATTTTTACTTCAAAAATAATTTATTCAAATTTAGAACTGGATAGGCAATGTGAAACGTGTTGCTAATAAACCAAACTGACGAACAGCAGTGTAACTCACTCGCTCCCAATGGACGTATCCGCACTGCGTAATAGACAAGTAATCTAATAAAAAACTTATCACCCTCATCTTAAATGCAAATTTGTATCCGTTACTGTGTAACTAATACGAAACAGTCGGTTAAAGTTGCTAATATGAATTATGTATATATGGAGACCGTCGTTCCGCGTTTTACGGGTACTAGACTATCTGTTGCTGTGTTGGGTATATTCCGATTCGATTTTCAGCTATGAATAAATTTAGCTCCTTCAAAACGACCTACTTCAGCTGTATCACTGTGTGCTATATGAAATAGTTATTTCAATTCGTTCTTAAGGATGTTATATTATATATGCCTTACCTCGACTAATGTACCGGGTTTGAGCCGCACAAAAATCAACGGAGCGTAAAAAAAAACCTTACCTAAGAGTTGAAACAAACGCGAATTTAATTTCTTTCCCGGGAAAGTTGTCCGTAAAGTTACTTGTAACTTTGCAGTTTCGGGTGACACACACACACGGAGGGAATTTCGTTAAATTATTTTCCACCGAATTACACGGACAGAAAGCTGACGTCGCCGCGGTACATTTTCATTACGTCGAGCGAGATTAATGGCATTATCTTGTGGAAAAATGCGCGCTCATCCACGTAACAATTATGTGTACGAAATGTGAATTCTCAACTTCCTAGCGCAGAAGTCAAACGGACCGAAGCGAAAATATCCAGAGGGAACCATCTCTCTGAGCACACCGGCCGCAAGACGTACCTACAACCGTTTGAATCTGGAACTAGAACGTGAAATGTTATTTATTAAGTTCTTGCACAGGTTAAACTCTGGGGGATCGCGTTCAAAAATGTCACGGCATTAAATATTCATGGAGGGGACACCGCAGGTCGGGAGCTGGATTAGATATATTCTAAAAAAAGGTAGGAACCCGATATAAGCTTCGGGAGCGTGAAACAATTCATATCGAACGACACGGGAGGTTCCCAGTACGGCGCACGTGGGATCGCACGAGTTATGGCCAGTGTGCCCTGGCCGCAAATAAAAATGCCATCTAAATTCTCTCCAGCGTTATATTCGAGTCGGATACTTAATGACCGCGCATTTGATATCCAATTACTGGCGATAGATATAGCGATCTAGCTAACTACCTCAATTGTCCATTTTAAATATTTTTGAATTCCATTCCATGTGACGAATAATGTATGACAGATATATGTTTATTTCTCCACGTATCGAGGTGAATGGTCACGTTTTATATATGTGCGCGGGATTGAAACGGGTTTGAGGACGTGCCGACGCCCGTATTCAAATATATATAAAAAACCTACAATTTTTTTAGTCCCGTCATTCGCAATAACCGCGTCCGATTCAATTAGAATGAGTCTAAAAGCGTCATAAAAAAATTGATTTGGCATTAAATACTTTATTTTAATTAGCATAAAGAACCAAATAACACGATAAACTAAAATATTGTGAGTAATCGCTGTTGAGTTTTCATTAATGCGCAACGAGACTCACTATATTCCCAACTCGACTATTTTGTTCTGACAACAACAGTGCAGAGGAAAAGTTCTTTATTTACAGTATTTTGTTTGAAAAATTCGATGATGAAACTTCAGAAACGAACGGTCTCCAATGATTTAACCTCAACAGTTTTTTCGTTTGGCGAATAAAAAATATATTTTCCGATCTATTTATTGCATTCGATAACAATTCTAACAATAACAGAACGTTCTTTTTACGACCGACGGATTGACAATAAAACCCTATTCAGATATGTTTTTATCAGAATTATAACATCGTAAAGTCGATTTGATTCAGTGAACGGATTAAATTTTATTGTTCGGAGCACATTTCATTACGTTGGCCAATAGAGTTAATCGAAATGTGCATACGCCATCGGACGGATATATCCGTACGGGCAATTTATGACAATAATCTGGACGTATCCGGCCATAACCGGTTTTGCTCGCAGAATAGAAGTGTATTGCGTTTTAAACTGCACGAAATTTATTTTATTGGGTAGAGCATTTAATTATCGTTATTTTTACTTATTAGCCAATTTGTTTAAGAGCCAAACTCACTATCATGGATTCAAATTATGCAAAAACCTTTTATGAACTATAAACACAACTATATAATACAATTTATATCTTACAACACGATTAAAATACTCATCTGCTGATGAACTTACGTGTTAAATATCTGATATAGATATTTCCGGAGTCGTTGATTGGTGGTGCAAAGATAGGTGGTTTGTAGTCTGTGACCACGTCCGGAAAATGCGAATATCCTGACGGTAGTTGTGGATAGCCGGGTAGTAAATGCGGGTACCCCGGCGGTAATGCAAATCCAGGTGGCAACTGATATCCGGGCGGAATCGGAAAACCAGGTGGTAATTGAGGGTAGCCTGGCGGAGTCTGTGGATAGCCTTGCGGTGGCTGCGGATTGCTCGGTGGAGGTTGCGGATATCCCGGTGGCGGTTGCGGGTATCCGGGATGCGGTTGCGGATACCCGGGCGGAGTTTGATAGCTAGGTGGATAATGTGGTGGTATTTGCGGAAATCCCGTGTGTGTAACTTCTGGTTGCGGCCCAGGAATATATGGTACCGCAAAGTACGGCACACCTGGTAGATGAGGGGCTATCGGATAAGTACTGCCCGGTATATGCTGTGTTACGGTTATATATGGCTCTTCAGTTTCTTCCTCATCTGGTATTTGCGGTTCCGGTATCCGAGGTTCTTCTGGTATGGATGGCGTTTCTGGTATTCCTGAGCTATCCGGAGCTTGCGGGATCTCTGGCGTTTCCTGTACTTGTGGTTCTTCTGGTAATTCTGGCACTTCTGATGGCGGTTCGGTATCTTCGGATTCTTCGTCTGTTAGATATAAGAAGGATTTTTGACGCGCGCGAACAGTTGTCGTATTTTCGGGATAAATTTTTTTTAAAGACTATATTTAAATCAGACAATTACATGCTATATAATCTTTATCAAAATCAAGATTAATAGTTATAATAATTGTTTAATATTTATTAAAGTGGCTGTGATGTGTACTTTTTAACTTTAATTAATGTATCTATTTTACCATTTACGAACCATATGTACATAGATTCATAAATACATTTAAGATGGTGCCTTACAATTTGCTGGCTTAATTCACAGTTAATTTAGGGCATATTCGTTTATCTTCTATTACAATAATATTCCAATGCATAATAAGTTAAGATGTAAAATTTTACACTATTGGGTAGAAGATGGTTGAGGAGAAGGCTAAGACCTTAATAACCAGTGGCGTAAATTGGAAGAGGCTTATGTCCAACAGTAAAGAACTGTGGGCTGATGCTGATGATGACAAATAATGGCTAGATATACTAGTCAGTTTTAAAAGTAAACATTACTAAACTTTTAATTTGCATGAAGGTATAGATGAATTAAAACATAAGTAGACTTCAGAAGGTTGCAGTAATACTTCATGTTAGCATGTTAGTATAAAAACAAAACACCGAGCAACGTTCCAAGAAATAATATCCGTAACTAACTTAACAACTAGATATCGCATTGAACGTTATTGTATCGAATGAATGGTGTGTTAAAAGCCAAATCACAAATACAGAAATGGGAACTGATCTCTAGTTACTGGTAAAAAAAAGGTCAGACCGTTCGTCTCACTCTCGGTGGAATACGATAAATCATCCATTGTTATTACCTTCAAGAGAAAAAAAAAATATCTCGATATCTCGATACACCAGTATCGTTGCGATAAATAAACATCGGAGCAACATCGATTATTGAAAGATTTATGTCTCGGTTCTGTCTGACGTATATAGTTCGAACATTATTCATATGAAGTTCCTATTGTGTGTATGAAGACGCGATAAAAACGGATAATGGAAGTGCGCCTTTATGTTTTATTATTTCTGTTGTTGTTTGTTGCTACAGGATTTTTCTCTTTGAGCTCTTAGGTGCAATTTGTAATGTTTTTGTTGACTTTAATTTTTACTGAATACTGCAATTCAGGTTTTCGAACTTAGCGTTGTTAGAATAATCAATCAAAAGAAAGAATCCAAACCTTATTTTAACAACGTTTTGGTTTGTCCGTCTTTTATATGTATTACATTTAATTAAGTTGAAACTTAATGTATAACTGTTGACAGTTATGGATTTAGGCTTGATTTCGCCCTAGGCCCTGTTTATCGCACCGCCCTTAATGTTAGAATAAATTTTATGAATTTTGATCCAAATTTTCTTTTTAAAAAATTATCTGGACTCATTTTCAAAGGAGACTCACTGTCTTTATTTTTATTCTTCTCTGAAATTTCGACATTTCAAATTTTTGCCGCCCTTCAAATCATGCGGCTCTAAGCCCGGACCTAGGCGTGAATCCATCACTGACTGTTGATCTGAATATTTTATTATATGTTTAGTTTAGGTATATTTAACGCGCGCTAGATATCTAATTCCTACAATTTTAAATCTTTCAACGCCTCTCATCTTTCTCACTCTGTAACCGTCCACAGCTGGGCATAAGGTTCTTTTCAAGTAAGATTTTCTTGAATCATTACAAGTAACTTAGAACTCTACTGAATGTGCAATACGATACAATAAGACCTTTAAAGATTTAAAACACAAACATCGTGTTTTTAAATAGAATAGTCATTCCAAAGGACAAGTAAAGTATTACAGCAGCAATTTAAACCCGAGACTTTTAACTTATAATTCCCTCAGAAATTACCGCTTATGACAGTTATAATTCCCTCAGAACGATGAATGCTACTAATGAATGGCGCCAAGCGTACAAAAAAAGCAAAAAATAAACAACAAACTAACAATAGACGCAAAACAAAGAGATCCCACCTCAAAGGAGACCGGAGTGAGAGAAATAAATGAAGGAAAAACTTCAAAATCGTCGAGAAGTGAAAACACGTGACACTTAATTGTTATCTTTGAAGCTTTTTAATGAAAAGGACATTTAGTGCAAAACACGTATTATAAAAAAGTATTACTATACTACAATACTAAAAAACCAGGTTTTATTTTACACATTCACAATAAATTCCATAATAACTAAACAAAAAAAAAGAAACTAGTATTTTAGAACCTGACGGTGACGGTATAGTGGCAGAAATCATGAAGAACCTGAGGAGGGAATCGTCAACAAAAGTGACATTCAGTACCTATCTAAAGATCAGAAATAAATGCCACATCGAAATTCTAAAGTTAACATCTCAAAAATTTAAATGATAAATTCGCTTTCATTATTCATTAACAGAAAACGTGCAGTGCCAAATCCGACAAGTTGCATTAAAAATAAGGCAAATCAAAATGTAATTACGTTTCTCATACAGGAAAAGTAAAATCTCGTATAAAGCCCAAAACAAAAACAAGTGCCGGACTGCATGAAAAAAGAAGGAAAAACTTGCATGCGCATGGCAATTCACACCGGTTGACTAATGGTCGAAATGTGAAGCTACGATCATAGTAGCTTCCATTTAAAATTGCTGTGAACCGATAACTGCATTTTAAGCGACAGTTTCTGCTTCAGACATCATTTACACTGTCGCGAACGACATCTTAAATTTATAACTTTTTATTTATTTATTTTTATTGCCCATGTAGGCAGACGAGCATATGGCCCACCTTATGGTGAGTAGTTACCGTCGCCCATGGACTTCAGCAATGCCAGGGGCAGAGCCAAGCCACTGCCTACCGGATTAAAACTATTGTTACGGTCATTACGGTCGTCCGTGACCAGGAAATCTGAAAAGTATTCCAAAAAAATGGCTGGTACATTACTTCTCCTACCTATCCGTTGGTATCCTTAGGGGCTATTCTAGCTTTGCGCGAACGGGTAGGTGAGCTCACGGGCTCAACNCATGGACTTCAGCAATGCCAGGGGCAGAGCCAAGCCACTGCCTACCGGATTAAAACTATTGTTACGGTCATTACGGTCGTCCGTGACCAGGAAATCTGAAAAGTATTCCAAAAAAATGGCTGGTACATTACTTCTCCTACCTATCCGTTGGTATCCTTAGGGGCTATTCTAGCTTTGCGCGAACGGGTAGGTGAGCTCACGGGCTCAACCTGAGAGAATATGCTAACACTAGCCTTAGCAAGAGCAGTCCTTCACGGAATCTGCCATCGGATTGAAATCATGACTCACTGAGAAGATCCGTCGAGAAACTTGGTGAGCTGTGTCTATGGGTTGGACAAATTACTAAAATCCGACATCTGTGTTCGTAATTTGGTACTAGGTGTTTGACTACTATTCTATACCAGTAAGACTGTGTAGTCAACATCTCTATACTACAAAAACCAGTGGTTTAGCAAGAAGCGGCTATTTTCTACAGTACAGTCTCGTATGGTAGCTTTCTTCGGACACGTTCCACGACGAGACCGCTTGTAACGTAGACCGCCTCTTCGTCCTCAGAAGGGTGGGCGTCACAAGATCGCGCGAGAAGTCGCGAGAAATCAGGACTAAGGTGAGAGACCTTTTAAAGAAGTGCAGCAAAACGGCCTTGAGCAGGGAGAGATGGTAAGAAGGGAAGAGATGCATCGTAAGACGCATCAGATCTGCCCCCCTCCAAGACTACATAACGATTACGTTCACTCTGCCAAGAGTGAAACGATTAAGAATTATAGTCTAATTTTAGGGATATCATTGCTATTCGATGAAATCAAATAGTTTTAGATTCAAAGAGACCTTCAGGCTCTTTTGAATATGTCATAACTACTATAGCTTCGGAATGAAGCTGACTTCGGACTGAGAAAAATCACAAGCAAACTTAAAATAATCAGTATGTCGTGGATAACGCCTTTTAGTTGTCGTGGATATCGACTTTTAGTAATATTAAGACGGTGGTTTTGATTATTATTTTAAATTATGAAATGTTGTTTTGATTAATATCACAAAATGAAGGGTAGACTCCGTAACGCCACAGTATAAAATGGCGGTACGTGGACAGAGTCGTGGCATTCCGTGTCAGACAGTCATTCCGTCCGTCTCAGTTAGTGAGTCTCTGGCAGTCAGTCGGTCTGTCGGTATGTGCAACGAAACTGTCGGTTTATCCTGTCATTGTGAAAGTTGTGTGTGTTGAGTTTCAATAATTATTATTCAAAAGGTTTTATTGACTTTTTATAAACTGAGTTCAACCAAATACGAGTGATGACGGAAACTACCGCTCAGCCATCCCTGGCGCGTGTCGACAAGTATATTATTTGGCAGCAATTCATATTTATGTATTGTGGGACCAGCTATGAAATTATGAAATTATAGATTTATTAAAATTACAAACAAATAGTTCAGTACCAAAATTTATACGTTATTTTTGTGCGGTACTATCAGCCTGCTCCTGTGCTTGCATATTAAATAAATAAAAACTTATTAAATTCAAAAAGCTTACATCGATATAAAGCTGGCGATCGTTGAAGTGGATGTGGATATTGAAAATTTCAATTAGAATTGTACCATGTTAATTAATAGTTCGAACAAGTTTTCGAGAATTGTTTTACGGAAAAACTTTTGATTGCTTAACTGTATTATTATCCTTGGGCAAGGCAAAAAATCGAATCAAATTTTAATTGCCTTCAGAGAACGTTATTTATAAACATTATAATCACACGCAATAATTGATCTCTTGTTTTTTTTTTCAATTTTTTTTCCTGTTCACGTTATTTGCGAAACAGTTCAATACGCGGATCAATCGCTTTTTCATGGCCCTCGGGAATTTCGAACACTGGGTTGTTAATAGCATACATTAATATGAATCGCTTCCGCCCCCGCCTGTGCAATATGTTCCCTGTTTGTTATATGGAGCAAATGAATGAATTTTCCTGGGAACTTTGTCTCTGTTGGCAGCGTTTATGATATTAAAAATGCACGGTCTTTGATAATTACATTAATATTTTCGTATACTACAATCATTACGTAATTAAGTTAAAGTACGTAACTCCGTTAATGTTTTAAATAAATTTTTTTACACGGTTTGCCAACGCAAGGGCATCAAAAATCGTGACTGCATATTGACAGTGCAAGTGCTTGTCAAATTATTTATTGGTACCTAATTAAAATCTGGAAGTGAACAAGAAATAGTTTAGCTGTTCGTGGACATCATCAAAACTAATACGAAAACCGAAACGCATTAGTGCTTAACGGCAGAAATAGGCAGCGTGGTGGTACCTACCCGCGCGGATTCACAAGAGGTCCTAACCACCATTAAAAAATCTGTGCATCTGTGCATTAATAAAAGCCACATTAAACTGTCATTTCCATATCGTCATAAGAAAGTGGCACTTTTTTCGCTTCCCACTACTCTCTCTACCCTACGCAATGACATGCAGGTTGTCGTCGGAATTGCGACCATTATAACCGTCACCAAGAATAAGCGTGCGTCGGAGAGAGAAGCTTTCTGTCACCTAGTTGCCCAACAAACTCGCGTTCAAAGCTTAATGACAAGGATAGCCAACTTAATGGCAGAAGAGCCGTCATTAAACACAACTGAAACTTCGTAACGTCGTCTTCAGGCTGGCGACATTCAATTTTTTGCAAATCTACGTAATTTTCGCTACCCGTTTAACAGCAGTTAGATCTGAAGCTCTTTTCCTATCTCCACCAATAACGATAAGTCTAGTCGATTTCATTATTCCCTCCAAGAATTCATTTCCCTTCGTTTCGTTCAAGAAATACGCCCAAAAATATAT